TAATGAACTTAGGTAGTTAGTACTTTCGTACTTTCTACGATTTAGCTGCTGAGAATGTGATGATTATTCTTATTTAGTCCGTGTGATGGATTAAAAATGTGGGATGTGACCACCCCTATTCATCCCGTGGGTGTCGTAAGAGCCAAAAAAACTACGCACGACAACCGCACTGCAAAGAGAAGGAAAACTTGAAACAAACCCTTCATCAACCCGTCTGGCCAGCGTAGTATAGTAGGCCAACACCTCCTTTCTAAGGAGAGGCCTATGTCCAGCAACGGACTGTTATAGGCTGTTGTTATTTATTCTTATGGGTCAGTGAAGTTAGAAGCCAATATCAATCAAATAACTATTAAGTATTCAAATAACTTGTGATGCGAAGGTCACGATGTTTCGAAACTTCAGATGACATATACAAATATATATATTTATAACTAGTTTTACAACTATGAGCTCAGTTGTCGACACTGGTATACTTAATGTGATTCAAATATTTGAAAATGTTTCAAGGTCTGTGACAAATTGGTTATTAAGATACGCTTTAGACATAATAAATTGGAGATGGTTTTAGGAACTTGCTTTTATGTAAATTGAAAGCAAAATGTATTTTTATTATTATGCAAAATCTATGGGAATAATAAAGGATGGATGAGGATAGAACTCTTGCAACTTCCATCGCTATTAAAGTCGCAAACAGCACACAAGACAGAACAAGAATTTTACAAACAAAACAGCTCCTGCCTTGATTGAGGTCATCGTTTCATCAAGTAGGACAAGTCTGTAGAAAAAAAAAAACAACTTCGTCAGCGATTGTCTATTCCCGGACAATACAACCTGCTTATTGCCTCAAAACAATTTCATATTGTCAAAATTCTCATTGAATATACGAAAATCTTGTAAAAGTTAATCAAAAACCGTTGTATCAGTGTAATTGACATTGTACGCAAAAATTACAACCGCCATTTGGTTTCCATATGTAATAATTATTATTCATTTTACACGCGATGACAACTTCCGATCGTGAGTCATGCCGTCATAAAACAGCTCCTTGTGGGAATAGATAACCGTTTACACTTTGAAATCTACACTAATCATAGAGAAGAATTTTTTTTTTAAATAAACGCACACTAATCTATAGAAGTACCAGTCGGAAGGATATGTTGGCTTTCGAGGAAGTAATCCACTTACTTTGACCTACTATTCTGCTTGTTTTAGTATCGATTTTGGCAATTTATTGTTTAGTTTTAAAAAGAAGCATATTTTATGGCAGACTATAATGTATCCCGGTGCCAATTTTTATTAAAATCCGTGAGCCTGTTCTAGTGTGATTGAGTAAATACCTATCAAATATCTTTACAAAATGTCACATTCGTAACAGTAGCAAGATTTGACATCACGTTATAACCTCTACTGAAAAAAGTTACGACCATAAACGAAAGTGAAAATGAAGAAAACGGCAAATTTTATCAAACAACTCTGAATTAACTCTAAGCAGAGTAATATTTGGAACTGTCGAAAGTAAACAATTTCAACTTATATGTTTAACTTAACAATTATCATACGCGGAATTTGTAGACTTTTAATTAATTAACGAATAAAAATACTTCTTAATTATTACTTTTTTCTACTTTCAATGGAAAGTCGTTTGCTAGGTACAATATAACAACGACTACTAAAGGTAGTATTTAAAATCGATTAACATAATAACCTCTACCTATTCAATTAAAACATCACTATTTTCTTTTCTCATCAAGTGAAATTCAATCTCTAATGATATTTTATTTAGCCCAGTCAAGGTTTCTACAAATTTTCCTCTCGGCCAATAGTGAAATTCGCTTATATTTAGATAAACGATTGTAGTCTATCAATATCACACGTATTGAAATATCAACAAGATAGAGAGGGACGAATACATATAGGTACGTCTGTTTACATTACTAACAGTGTGCATAGGAGAAATTGGCTACACGCAGCCGTTCAAGCGAAAAGTTTGTAAATATGTTATGCGTAAACCCGACTGCCCATTGATTCGTATCGTCAAATATGAGCCTTCAGGTACGCAGGCCATATCTATAATATTTGACGTCATCAAAGTTTGAGCAAGCGCCTGACATTTGCAATTAACGGGGCATTCAACTCGGTAATCATTCGTACGCCTCTGTAATAGTCGCTCTACATCGTTAGAGTTATCAAGACAAATTAGTTTATTGTAGACGAGTTAGTTTCAATGGACTCCTTTAAAAGTCAAGTTTATATAATGTTAAGTGAATGAAAAAGGTTTACATACTTCGTGAGAGGTTTTCCTCTTTATAATTGATACTATTCTATTATAATTATATAGCAAAGCTGAAGAATATTTCGTTTGATAATCTCACTAGCTCACAGAATTCGGAAAAAATGAGATTATATTGAGCATTGAGGAAGGTCATAGATGCTATGTAAGACTCGTTCTTAGTGACCATAAGCGCAGGTAAAACCGCACGGATATGGTAATATTTATAACTTAATTTTTTGTTGTTTTTGTTGTTATATACTCTGTGGCAATTCGTAAATTGCCACAGAGTATATAACAACATGAACAGAGTATATAACAGTAAGTCTACTGGTAATACAAACATTTAACTTAGTTGGTGGAGTTGGTTATTGAGAGTCGAGAGCCCTATAATTGTCATCAATTTATATCTTGCTTTAATTCAATTACGTATGTTAAGGACGCAACAATACACTCGTAGGGAACATCCATTAATTATGTGCATTGTCTATAATACAATTCGGACCTCTCCTTTTGGTCACATTTGATTCGAAGTGTTATGATGCTGATATGCTTAGCACGGAGACTCAATCCTTTTTGATGAGATTTTATTAGACTCAAATTTAAGCTATCCTTTAATGGATGTTGTCCTATCTTAAGAACGTGTTTCTTCGCGTTGAAATAATACATACAACCTTTGTCAGCTAACACGAAGAGAGATGGTGTGTTACGAACCTTAGATGTTATTTATAAAATATGCTAGTTCTGGCGGCAGGTTTATCAAACAATGCTGTTTAATGAGCGTGTTTACATGTGGGCACGTGGGTAGTCAGATAACGATCGAGGACAGGACGTTCGAAGATTTGAAGGTGGAACGCATTTGAAATATTTTGGATAGCGGTAATGTCTTCCAATGACGTTATAGTTAGAATTTGCACTACAAAAGTAAGTATGCTTTTTTTAATGTTGAGTGAAACCCTCACCAGGGCCGAGAATGAAGTAGTGGCGGGACTCGAACCGACACCACCAAAACCAAACCACACGGGATCGGTAGCACGGTGTTCCGTCAGAAGTGAGTATATTGTAGGGACTGCGGGATAACCTAATAGGAAAGTCACCGATAAGCAAGCGACAACACAGTAGAGTACAAGCCTAATTCCCTCCAGAACAGAGAGGCGTGCACGGAACATATTGTGCCTCATCGTATCAGGCCTGCTCTGCATGGGTAACGTTAGCCCGACCCGTCACTCCTCAAGCCCACAAAGTAGCTACGCTGAAAACGGCTAATTTTACATCAAACATAGTCATTCGTATTTTGGCTTTTAAATTACTATTGGTAACTTGGAATTTATATTTTGTGTTTCCTTTTTATGATCACAGTACTGTTACTATAACCAGTGTGGTTCACGTACTAACAAAACCTTGACTTCAGAACAGATGCTATCTAAAATTATTCGTCCATAAACTAATAATCGAAATCGATAGAAACAATAAAACCAGTAATCGACTTGATCCATTATATTCTTCAGTTTGCATTAATACTGTTGATCACGCATCATACTAAGACTACAAAAGGACGCTAATCTTAGTCCAAACTACGTCACAATCTATGAAGCTCTTGTATGATAATTCATTTAATAAAAAACATATAACTAAGTTTTATTCATAGTTACTTTAACTAATCTTATCTTAAAACATACTAATATCTTGTTTAAGGACACTCCTAATTCGGTTAGAACAAACAGAGACATGTTTAAAAGAACGAAAAACGTTTAAAAACAGCAACTACACCGATTTCACAATAGCCTTTAAGTCTATGTCGAGGTAAAACAGCGTGTGTCAACGAACTAGGTTAAACTATATCATTTGTAAACGTAGCAGACAGCAAAAAGTTTTGGATTTGACAATAAAACTTTGAGATACTACTGGTAAATTGGCTCCTCGATTTATATTTAAAAAAAAGTATAATCTTAGAATATTCGCCAATATTTTTTTTGTGGCATAGAGGGCAATAAATGATTAGCGCTGCACTATAAGCCCCCCAGAACTAGGGGGAGGGAGAGAGTTGGGCGTCCGGTAACCTCACACGCTCCGTGAAAATGAATGAAGCAATGACATATTTGAATCAACGTCCTTACAGTTTAAACAAGTAGGCTATGCTGTAATGATATTCGGTAATGCTGAACACACGTCGACATTGCAATACGGGGTCAGTGTCACACGGAGGATAAGAATAAAGGAAAACAATTTCACAGAATTGTTTGTTTATAGCTCAAAGACACAACGACGGAAGCGTGGTCGTGAATGAATTAAACGCTGTCAAGGAAATTGTCAGAAGGAAATGACTTTTAAAGTCATAATAACAGTATTTAGTCAACACAATGTCATTTTTTCGAAACTAGGTGATTCAATAGGCATATTTTTCAATAGGCATAGATTTATATTCTGATTACATTTCACAAGAATTGTGAAGCCAGAGATACAAAATAAGTGTACTTGAACTTGTTGGTTGTGGTAAAAATAGATGCAAAGGATCCGCCTTCCGACGACTTGCAGTAAACACACAATTTATCCACTAATGCGAGTATATTAGTAAACTTTTGCAATAAAAAGTATCTTAGATTCATTTTTAATATAAACAGAACGCATAGTTAATAATATCTACAGTTGTCTTAATGTTTGAAAATAAAAATTGCTAAAGATAAGAAAGTTAGTTATCTGAAAAAATAATGAAATTCTAAAAATGACTAACCTTTTTGTAGAGTTTGATCCATGTGAGATCACCCTTGGAGTCGGTGTACTGGAGCCCAAAGAACCACACCTCTCTTAGACCGATAGTCTTGACGACCTGGTCGAACAACTGTTTGCCGGTGGTCGTCTGCTGGATCGCGAACTCCAACTCCGCGTCCATCGTCGTCACACGGACGTTCATCTGGAACAGCACAATATAATTTTACAACATGTTCAGTAAATAGTACAATAAATAACACTACGAGCAAACCTAGCGTTTCCTTTTACGAACAAAATATACTACTACTAAATCTAATTCTTAGCTACTATTATTATCACAATTTCATTTGACCTCACTAAGTCCTTTAATGGTAATGTTTGGAATATGAATATATTATTATTTGAAATAATAGAAAAAGGCTATCTTTCAGTTGCAGTAAATACGAGTAATATTATAAATTAGGTACAAATCAGTGTTTTTTTTAAATAATCGTTATGTATATTTTTTAAATCATAGACTAACGGCCGACCAACATCTTGGTCTTTTTAAAACCAAACCGAAGGACCAAGTTGTTTCCTCCAACCAAAGTTTGTTTATTGTTTAATATTTCATTATTTTCGTAATATAAATTAAGTACGTGTGCCCTTGTCAAACAGCAAAACGACCTTAACTGACGAGAAATCATATATGGCAAAGAAAACTGAATAGAGGACGAAGCATTGTATAGTTCAGAGATGTGTGTTGTATATCAACTGAGCGTGTAATATTGGACTAACATCCCGTATTAGTCGAAACTTGTCTTAACAATATAATAGGTTAAACGTCATGAAGGTCACCTCTGTCACCAAAAGTAAGTCAGATTAAAAATTCAAATTGTATATCATTCTTTCAAACTCAGTTCAGCCATTTAGTAGTGACAGTAGGCATTAGGATAGACTTCTGAACATACTGGTTAAAACTTATAACTATAATTTTTGGCTTCATTACTGTTGAGTAAAAATACTTATTTGTTACGTATAACGTAGAATAACAATAGGGACTTATAAGCTCATTGACTGTATTCTTTATAAAGACATAATCGTTAATATTTATATGGTACAATGTGACACATGGGTGAACTGGATTGTGAGTCCACACTTCACCACGATAGATGCAATCAATCCCCTTTACCCATTCGAAGAAATAGGAATGTTTGTATGACAAGTTTGACTGTCCGTATGGTGATGGAATGAGAATACGGAGTGTCACCACCCTTATTCATCCCGTCATTGGGTGTTGTAAGAGCCGACTAAGGGAGCAAACTACTCAGGACGGAATTACTCTGAGAAGGAAAACTTGACCCAAATCCTCTGCCGTGTGGCCAAGCCAAAATCTCCTTTCTAGGGAGAGGCCCATGTCCACCAGTGGACTATCAAAGGCTGTTGACGTGATGTTTAATATCTATTCCAAGTTTATTTAAAAAGATGCATTCAGCAAAAGTAAAATTAAATGAATGACAAAACAAATGTTAACTGTGTCTAAAAATATCTATCGGGTCGTGTTGATTCGGTGCCAAACGGATGTGATCTTCCGGAGCGATTATGTCATTTGAACCGCGTATTACTTCGACTACTACTGTTTTATTTATTTTATTTATTTATTTTCTTTTTTGTGTTTATATAGCCTTTTATCATGTCTATATATTATATAGCTATTATGGTAAACTTGAAAGAGGGGTATCTTTCGATAAATTCTAAGAAAAAAACCATTTAATTGCTAATATAACGTCAGTTCCAGAAATTTCTTTCGTACATCTAAAAGGAATTTCTAGAGCTAAGATTATTTAGGAATTAAATGTTTTGAAACGTGCATCCAAATCAGACTTAACAATGACTAAGAGTGATTTCAAAATGACATAAGCGCCTTCATCTTACTCGTGTTGTAGAAAATCAATTCATAGATTTTATAATTTTAGTTATTGAGATAGGTGTTTAACGTGACCAGAATAGAACAATAAAGGATTTTTACTTTGTGGCCAACACAAATTCAAGAACAAATATCACGGTGACATTGACAAATAAATGAAGACTGGAATGGCCAAACTATACAAATTTCTACAAAAATTATGAAATTAAGTTACATAAACGAATATGTGCAGAAAGTTAAACTAAAATTACATATGATTAATGAAAGTATTGTTCGTGTTGAATACAGGAGAAAAAAAAACCCAAAAATATGCTATTGTTTGGTGAAAACTTGAAATAAAAAGTGTTTTACACTAATGTGATGTAACCTTAAGTGTACCAAGAAACAAATAACATGATGTCAATGCGTCATCTTCATTATGGTATGGCAAGTTGCGTTCAACCGACACGGTTCGACGTTGTGCGGTTGAAGATTTCATTGCGGAAATGAATCTTATTATTCACAATACCCCCGATGCACCACCAACTTTTTGCAACCCAATGGGTGAGTCTTCTATTGACGTGACGCTTACGCGCGGCGACGTCTCGATATCCGGATGGCGTGTCCTTCCGGACGCATCCTGTAGTGATCACCGCTTGATCGTGTACGAATTCATACCAAGGGTTGCACAGGATCCACAAAGGGCTCCCTATAATTTTAGATATAAAACTAAAGGTGCGAACTGGGCTTTGTTTGGTTCACTCTTTGCAACTCATACCAAAGACTTCAGTCGCAGTAGTTTATCAGCTGAGGAAAGCGCAGAAATACTATCAGAAACTTTTACATACTGCGCTGATGTAACTATTGGTCGCGGATCTATCACTAACACTCGTAGATGTGATTGGTGGAATGATAGATTAGCCGAACTACGTAGAAGCTACCGGAAAGCTCGTAGAAAATTAAACACTATTAAAAAACATAACGTAACAGGAGATTTGTACAACAATGCTCTCATTGCTCTTAGAGTTGCCAGGTCCCACTACAGAGCTGCTGTGGAAAAATCCAAGGGAAACTTAATTCAGAAACTTGTTGATAAACTCGATAGAGAGGGCCCGTGGTCACCTTTGTATCACGAATTTAAGGCAAATAGATCAATCGACCTTGCATACATACAGAACATCAAAATTAATAACAGATATACCACAGGAGTAGAACAAACAGCAGAATATCTTTTAGACTCACTCGTACCTGACGATCGACCGGAAAACGACACTGATCATCACCGACAGATCAGGCAGTGGGCCATCGAACCACCACTGTCTCCAATGTCTGATTTACCATCTTCAGACGAATTTCTCAGTATCATTAGATCCTTGCCGCTAAACAAGGCTTCGGGCGATGATAAAATATCTAACAAAATGATAAAAGAAGCTTGTAAACTTTCGGGTGACACGATTTTCACTGTCTTTAAACGTTGCATTGCTGAAGGAATATTTCCTCGTATATGGCGGTGCGGTAATATTCGTATAATACCAAAAAGTGGCGACAAGCCACCGGATGATCCTAAATCCTACCGACCAATCACATTATTACCATCGTTAGGAAAGCTTTTAGAACGTCTTGTAGTGCCCCGGCTTCTGCCAGGTGGAGTCAAATTTCATGATAGACAATTTGGATTTACGTTGGGTAAATCGACAACTGACGCTGTTATATCGGTTAGAAAGTTTGTCACAGAGTCAACATTTCAATACGTGCTGGCTATTTTCTTAGATATATCTGGCGCCTTCGACAACGCATGGTGGCCCATGCTGTTGCTGAAATTAAAATCACGGGGGTGCTTTAAAAATATTTATTCCCTTATCTCTTCGTACTTCTCACAAGGTACAACTAAACTAAGACTTGGTCATCATTCTGTGTCGAAGGCGCTTACAATGGGATGTCCTCAGGGATCGGTGCTAGGTCCATACTTGTGGAATATCGGCTTCGACGATTTTCTTGCGATACCAATACCATCCGGATGTACTCTGAACGCGTATGCTGATGACGGCTTATTACTGGTGGAATCTGATACTAGGGCGGGGCTTGAGAGATTAGCCAATAGATGTTTGAACTTGATATCTCAATGGGGTGAACGTAATCGCTTAACTTTTGCACCCAACAAAACCTTCCAGCTACTTTTAAAAGGTAACCTCAAATCACCGCCGAGCATTAGATTTGACAATGTTACTGTAAAAAATAAAACCACAGTGTGTTATCTAGGATTAGTTTTAGAAAGAAACTTTTCATTTATCGAACATATTAAAATAGTTAATGAAAAGTCTAAAAAGAGTTTCTGTGCATTGACAAGGATATCAACTGCGACATGGGGTCTATCATTTAATACATTAAAGATCATATACGGAGCTACTTATTTAGGTTCTATGTGCTATGGTGCACCTGTATGGGCCGATAGGGCGACCGTAGGCGCTGTCCGTCGCAAACTGTTACAAGGTCAACGACTTGCACTGATATTCTTGTGTAAGGCATATAGGACGGTTAGCACTGAGGCTTTGCCGGTGTTGGCGGGTGTGCTTCCGGTCGATCTCGAGGTGCAGAGACGTGCAGCCATGTACTATTCAAGACAACAAAACATGGAATGCGATTTTTTGGGCGCGCGGGATCGCGGTAAAATTACAAGATTGCTTCAACAGCAGCCCGATGTCTATAATGACCTCATAGACGAATGGCAACAACGCTGGGATGAATCATCCAAGGGGCGCCATCTTTACCAATTCTTTCCATCTGTTCGCGAACGGTTGTCGAGGATATGGCTTGAGGTGGATCACTGTGTCGCTCAATTTCTTACGGGTCATGGTAACTTTAAGAGCAAGCTTTATTCATTTAAATTAGTCGAGTCACCATTGTGTCAATGCTCAACACCTAACTCTCACTATGAACAGTCTGCTCATCATATCCTCTGGGAATGTAGTCTTTGGTATAATGAACGTAATATAATGCTGAATAGCTTGCAGGTGACATCTGGGGCGGTATACTATGGGGATCTTGTGTCAACTAGGGTGAATTTCCGTGCGTTTAGGCGATTCTGCCATACATATTATAGAAATCAAACATAGCTCACGTAGGACCCGTAATATTTGTGGCCGTGGTGCTTCCCTGTTTAAAAGGGTGTATGCCCATTTTACTTCATTTTGTCTCCCGCTTTGCTAAGGAGGGAAGTGGATTTACTGTATTTCCAACTCCTCCAATTTTCTTCTGATTAATTTCGTTGCGGGTTCCAAGACAGTTTAATTTCTTCCTGGGACTTCCCGAGTGTCATA